CTCTGTGCCTAAGAAGATTCTATACATCAATGTGGCGTTCAAAGGCGACCTACTAGGCAACATCCTAAAGAGAAGAATATCTGAAGCCTTGAAAAGAACATTCTATGCTAAAACTCTAAAGATAAACTATCGCATTCGATCACTTCTATGTGCATCTACCAATATACTTGGTCATGCGGAACCAGTCATATCTAGAGGTCGTTCGATACGTGTTTTATCTTAAACAGTCACAGAACATTATCCAGCCTGTCTACGGAAAGGTAACAGTGGATCAACAAGGAGTGCTATAATTGAACATATAATCAACACTGGTCACTCAATATGCACGGAGAATTCATTCAAAGTCACCTACAAAGTCAAAAGAAGCCTCCCTTAAACGGTAAGCTTCCGTATACCGTGCATTACCAAGGCCTTGGCGATCCACCCACTCCTCCTACCTTGGTGGGAGGGCAAACAGTTTTCAAAGTGGAAATGACCACATATGGTCACTTTGATATTGGGTTACGCAGACACAATCGCAATGGCAAACAAAGAGAAACAGGTGAATATCAGTGAGCGCCGAGATTCCAAAAAACAACACAAACGAGCACAGCCCCTAGAACCAATAAGATAATGTAGGTGAAAATCTATAAATATGTGTTGATTTCCTTAATAAACGATCTGTTTCCTTGCCCTTGTCTTCTGTTGTTACACTACTACTTTGCTAATAATACTTCTTTTGAATTTTTGTTTAACACCTAGGTAACATGATTTTTCTTAACGAACCCTTTATTTACTCTCTACCTATAACATAATTTATTTTGAACATGTGCCTCCATGCTCTTCTGTGTGTCTTTCATATTACGCAACTCTTGTCAACACTTACCAATCTTCACCGCTCCCCCCCCCTAGTTACGATTTGATTATTTATCACATTTTTCAAACATTTTGATGACGTAAGCAATAACCCTAAAATTATTTTTGTTTGACTATCCTAATGTACACACACGCACAGAAACACAAAGTAATTATATATAAATGCAATTGTACAGCTGAGTGATGAATGAATTGGTCGCCGAAAAGAGACTATTTGCTGAACTTTTTGTTCTTATAATTTTCGAGGGTTGATCTGCAAGGATTTGATTGGTTTCAATCATTCTCTACCCTGAAATCTATTGAATTCTTACAACTGAAACGAAAATCTATTGTTCAATAATCTATATTTTACTTATGGTCATTTTTTTTAAAACGCTTTAAATATCCTTTAATTAGAATTTAATTGGTGGATGGTGACTAGCAGTGGAATCCAGGATAAGGCGCATTTCGTCCTATTTGGGACTCGTCAATTGGATGTACCTGCATTCCCCAGTCAGCCAGTGATGGTGTTCCCACTGAGACTCGAACCCAGTGCGCATAATTTCCAACGCCAGATGAAGCGTTATCTACTAGACCACCTGGGCCATGAGAGCCACCTCTTGTGTAACAGATCATGTTAATTGAATTGAATTTTAGATTTTCCTGTCGATGGATTGGACCGAAGTGCTCGGTCTCAGGTTGACATGTCGGCTTATTGTGCAGATGCTTCGACGATGTCTGGTCATCTAGTTAGAAATTTAAATAGGACGAAATGCGCCTTATCCTGGATTCCACTGCTAGTCACCATCCACCAATTAAATTCTAATTAAATGACCAGACATCGTCGAAGCATCTGCACAAGAACTGGTCGAAGAAGCAGCCGGCGAAGATAGGACTCCAGGTCAATATAGACAAGACGGAGGTTGTAAAAATAACAAACCAACCAACAAGAGCAGCAACATCCAGCGTGAATCACCATCAACGGGAAAAATTTGAAAGAGGTTACTTTATTGACTTATCTAGGGAGCATTGTCTCAACTAAGGAAGTCGGAACGGACGAGGATGTTAAATCGAGCGAGAATTGCGAAGGCGACAAACACATTCACATCAACCTGAAGCCACTCTGAAAATCTTCGTCACTCAGCCAGAATCAACAACAAAATTCGGTCGGATTTTCAATACAAACAACGTCAAGTCAGTCAGTTCTTCTATACGGATTAGAAACTTGGCGGGCGGGTCACAAAGAATATTTCCAACAGCTAGTCTGATGCAGACTTTTATCAACAACTAACTGTCTTCGCTGGCTCTATACTGAAGATCACATGGCCGGCCGGGCCGGAAACAATCACCAACAAGAAACTATGGGAAGAAACAAAACAAGAACCAACCAATCGCCAACCAACAAATATACAGGAGAAAGTGGAGATGGATTGAACACCCGTGGCTGAGGAGGCCGTTGGTTGACATCGCGCGCGCGTCAGGCCATTGCTCGAGTGGAACCGGAAAGGGAAGAGGCGAGTGGGACGTCGGTGCAAGGGTGACATGGAGATCGTGTGAAGAGGAAACAGTGTGGACTAACATGGCTGCATGGGAAAAGTACAGCAAAGGAAGACAGAAGTGGCAAGTGGAGACGTGCATTGAAGCCTATGTTCCAATAGGAACCTAAGAGAACAATAATAATAATACATCAAAGAACGTCCTTCTTCTATGCAGTAGTTCATTCTGATTTCACAGCCAACAAATGGTCATTGAATGTTTCTTTTACCACGAATGCCTCTGTTTAAAATAATGTGTTGCATGGAGAAACACGGTAGTGAATGGAAAGGCTTGTAGTAGTTTTGAGTAAAGAGAGTAAGAACATCGTTAGTGGGTCGATTACAATGACTAGAACATGTGTTATGCATGTCGAGCTACAGCCTTTCTCAACGAGATAAATGATAGCTGATAGTTACAAAGGTTATCAGACTGAAACATGACACCAATCAATAAAGTTTCTGACTCATTTTATAATTACATAAAATCAATAACAAAAGATTTTTCTCAATATTTTGCCGTGTAAGCCACAGATATTCTTAAGCGGAATTCATCAAAATCTTGGTAGTCACTTTCAGAAAAATCTTATTTTGTTTGAAGTAATTTTAAAAATAATTAAGTTTAACCCGGCGCCTGAATTATTCCAGGGAATCCTCCACACCTATTGTTGTGAGAGCTGTCGTCTGCTAGCCAACACTGGTAGACAGCAACTGACGCTAATGTTTACTCCCCAAATCTTGGTCATGAGAAAAAGAAGAACAGAGACTTTGCGTGGGCGGATACGATTCACGGATATATGGTATGACCTTCAAACAAATGGCCAAAAAGAGATGACAGATTAAGTTTCAGTTAGAGAACAACCAATCAGAAGACGCTGTTTCTCTGTAAACAATAACTTATAATAATGTACATAAAAGTCTATAAATATCTCTTGGTTTTTCAAAAAACGAGCTTTTGCCTGACTCTTGTCTTCTATCGTTACACTATGACCTTGATATCTAGAAGTCTTTAATGTGAACTACCCGCCGGTGATATGACTCATAATTCTTCTCAATATTTTAGACGTTTTCAAGGCTTTTGACCGTCTACATCTAGAGAAATCATTATTACTCTTTCTGATGTACATGGTGGTTTATTATAGGTTTCATTGCATTTAATATCTCTATTGTAACCACTGGTATTATGAAGTGGGACTAATGTTGAACTATTGCACTTTTGTGCTAATTTTTATCTTAACACCAATCCGATACAAATCCATCTGGTTAGATGCCTCACGAATAGAGCAAGACGTATCTGTATGCATGAATTCCTAGAAAATGAGCTTGGATATATCCAAAATACGTTAGTCCAAAGGGTTATCATAGTCGATTTCTAAGCAGACGCATGAACACCAGGTAAGATAAAGAGAAACCGACAGCAGTTAAAAAGAAACAACTGTTCATGACACTACACTTTAAAGGGGACGTAGCTAGCGAAGTCTTACATCTGAGTATCGAGAGCGATAAAACGAACTTATACTGCCACCACCCTTTGTTTGTCATTCTCCAGCTGCCAACCATTTATGATTGCTGAAGCGAAAGACAAGCTACCTAGCTGTGACACTTCTATGTGTATCTACAAATTTAGTTGCTCCCGTGGAGAGAGAGCTACATAGGGCGAACAACTAGACAGCTTAACAAACGACTCATCGCTGAGCATCTTCCTTCATGGTTCGGAATAGGTTAAATAAAATCTATACGAAGTTCTATTTGGCTCATTTGATTGATAGTGGTCACCAAGTGGACAAAAATAGTGCCTTCAAAGTTATCTATCGCATTCCATCGATGCTTTTGAACAGGTTGGAAGCCGCCTTTTACACATAGCCGGAGCTGCTATGGAAATTAATTCGAGAGAAAAATCCTAATCTTTGCACACAATAAAAAAAGTTTGTTCTACCTTTGTCTCTGCCTTGTTTCGCCTAGGTGATTTCTATTCAAAACCCTCCCACGCACCCTTTCTTATTTTCCATCTCCTTCGTCCTTTTATGATATTTGTTCACCCTAAGTATTACGCAACTTTTAAGATCTGGCCTTCGTTATTCTTATAGCCACCTGCATAAGCCTTAGTATAAGTTTTTGTTATCATTATAATCATCGTTATTAACGACGTTCAAAACATTTACCACATTATTATTATTATTTGAACGACAAAATCACCATCATTGGTTAAAATTTTTACATATAAATCTATATAACTAGAGTAAAGCCTGACGAAGACCTAATTGAAAACAACAATATTGTTCGTTTATACGTCTTGTTCCAATATTAATAATGGGAACATTTAAAGATTTGACATCAGTCAGTCACTCTATCGACGCCTATGCAAATCAAATCTTTGATTTACAGCAATACAACACTCCCTCCAACCCGCTTCACAATACGTAGTCTAAGTACTTTTTGCTTCAAAAATATTCTACAGTTCAACACTCCAAGTTAATTCTGACCCTCTGCATCGTAGAAGAGAGAAATAACTTTCAAGGGTTTACACCACTTCAATTCGCCTAGAAAGCACTGTGTTTTTTACTTGAATACTTTTAAACTACTTATATCGATTAATCAGTAAGTAGACAGTCAGTCAAGAAGTCAGTTAGTTTATCATGTTCATTAGCCATCCGCATGTTGTTTCACACAGCGTAAGAGGCATGTATTCAAGCATTGTTTTTTGGTCATATGAAGTCACTTATATAGATATGTATAAATACAATCTTTTCCAAAGCTCTAGGATGGTGTAAAAAGACAAAAGAAACAACGTATATCATCTATCCCTTCATTTCAAACAAAGAAAAATGAGACTATCAAAAATTTAAAAAGGGGAAACTCTCATCTCCTTAGAAAATAATACAATTTCCTGGAGAGAGAGAGAGAAAAGACAGGAGTAGTAGTAGTACAACGCACACAGTATACACACAGTAGTAGTATTTTAGCACAGTAACAAAACGTAGTCAACTCTTCAATGAACAGTCATAAGTGTAAAAAACAAACAAAACAAGACAGGGTATATATATATATATATATATATATATATATATATATCACCATAGAGAACAGAGTTAAACTAATCAGAATATCGAGAAAAGGCATGAGGTGACCGCCACCAATACCAGTGATATGAGTAGAAACAATGCGGTGATATTAACAACAAGAAGGAATACAGTGAGTGGAGTTATGAGGTTAATTTTATTACATGAATCAATCTTCTCGAACAGTACATTTCATAGTATACATATAAAATAAGGAAAAAAATAATAGACACAATGGTTATAAGCAATGATACTTCATACTATTTTGATTCAATGGACACATTGACACTGAAGAGAGAGAGAGAGAAAGAGGGCGGGTGAGGATGGGAATGGTAAGAGAGAGGGAGGGAAGTGACACAATACACTAATTCCTATATATATATTTGTTTTTATCACCAATAGAGTTTAACACCTTTTTGAAAGACAACGATGTAAAAAATAAAGGGGGAAACTATACAGACAGACAGACAGACATCCACACGTACGTATGCACACCTCTTGAAGAACGGAGAATGTAAGTAGAAACAGTCCTATTTGGCTTTCCCAAGGGAAAAATAACCACACAAGAGAAAGAAGAGGAAGGGAAAGTGTAAAAATAGTGAAATAGGAGAAGAAGACGTGCACACAAAAGGAACTTTACACACGTGTATTCCATTTTTGCTTCTCATTTGCTTGATAAGAAGAAAACGAGATTTTGCTTGGTTAACAACACAACAATTCACCAAAATACAGGTTAATTCTCTTTCTGACCCTAGAAAGAGAGAGCGAGCGAGCGAGAGAGAAAAGTACCCCCGCTGGGGTCTCCCCTCCCCCCACATAGAGAGCGAGAGAAACAGGGAGAGAGAGATTCTATTTTGCGTGGCACAGAATAGAATTCATCCTGTAGAATACATTCTGTGTACACAGTAGGTATTAGTATGAAAACACACACACACACAAACAAACAAACAATTAAATAAACAAACAAAACCATTTCATTCTACACAGAATGAACCCATTGGTATTTTAATTACATACAATTATAAACACCAGGATAGAGAGAACAAAAAATTGACAAAAAAAATAGGGAGCTGCCTTTTCGGGCATTTTTATTTAAAACTCATCATGAATTATTGTATATCTCATTCGTGATGGTGTTAAGCGTTGAAATACTGAAGTATGCGGTGTGGTCTAGACGGGAAAAAACAAGAAAAAAAACCAAAAAAAATTGCAGTGAAAACAACATTTCATGTAATAAAAATGACAATACAAGACAATGGTTCAGAGAAGAACATTTTCCTTATAGGTGGAATCATCTTTAGAGGCAGGCTGTACATACCGTCGTATTGATATTTACAAAGAAAAAAATGTATACTAGTCCATTATTGAATGAACGAAATATTCCCATAGTGGGGGAAAGGCACAAACAGCAAAGAAAATTTTACCCCTTTTCGACGATTCATTTTCATGAGCTGCTGTACAATCGTAATTAATAATTAACAAAGAAATCCTTAGACCATCCAGATACTGGTAAAATTTTGTCCTTGAAAAATTGTATGACATAATGTAAGATGTAAGAAGGGATGGCTAATTGTAAGTTAGAAAGGAGACAGAAGTTGGCATGACGTCATAAGTGTGAGATAATGACTAATCAATAAACTCGTGGAAAATGGACAGGAACTAGTGGAAAGGTTATAAAGTGTTTTTGTATAAAATCTGTATGAAAAAGCAATGCTATTAATGAACAGTAATAGAGTGGTAATAAAATGTGGATGATGGGAATAATACTGATAATAAAAGTATTAATAATAATAATAGTGAACTTACATAATAAATGAAAGAAGCAAAATTGTAGTAAGAACTTTACTCTGGTCATGGTAGGGCCAGGGAATGTATGTATCGCTTTTGTATGCACAGGTCTGGTTTCAGGTCTCGAATAGCTAATACCTCAGCTATGTACAGATGGCGTATGCGAAGTCCCTTTGTACGATATTAAGGGACTCTGTGTAACACTGTGAATCATTCATGTGGTGGGGGGGGGGACGGCTTTAGCTATTCGAGATCTGAAACCATACATCTCCGGACATCGAGCACCCCATCGAGTTTATCGATTATTCATTATCTCACACTTATTAGGTCATGCCAACTTCTGTCTCCTTTCTAACTTACAATTAGTCATCCCTTCTTACACCTTCCTTTATGTAATGCAATTTTTCAAGGACAAAATTTTACCAGTATCTGGTTGGTCTACGGATTTCTTTGTTAATTATAATTACGATTGTACAGCAGCTCATGAGAATGAATTGTCGAAAAGAAAATCTTCTTCATCAGTACGCACCCACTGAGATTCGAACCGAGGACCTTCCAGTTACAAGGCGAGCTCGTATACCATTAAGCCATTGGGACCCGATCCAAAAGAGAGTCCCAAACTAGGATGAAACAGCTGTCCAGCACTCTCAGGTTTTCCAATGGTTCTCTAACTAATGTCAGCTCATGATGAAAATCCTGAAACCAATCAAATCCCTACAAATCAACACTTGAAAATTTTCTTCGCTGTTTCTGCCTTTTTCTTAGTCCATTATTGATTAATAGGACGAGGGAGGGGGAGTAACACAACTGATATAATTACTCAGAAGTGGCTTTAAACCTGAACATGAGAGCTATACACAACGTAATACTCAACGCCACAAAGAAGAGGGAAAGGCATTAAGAAATTTGATAAGGTTGACATTGTTATTAAGTGAGAAGAAAGTTGACAGTTGAGAGTGTCATTTTAACAAGTATGAAGAGGGTGAGAAAATGTACAAAAGGCACACGTGAGAGTGATCATAGTCGATTAATTATTAACAAAAGTAAAAACGGAGACTAATCATTAAAATTAAAAATAAAATTTTTTACAGCGAACGACTAATGAGGAGGTTAAGATCATGGTAGGATGACAGACTAGACAAACTTGTTCTGCATACAGACTTCTGAGCTGTATTGACGAGATGGTTAGCAACAGGACAACACAAGACAGTCAGTAGCTCAATTCTCGAGCACTTGGTGAACACTCAAGCCACGTAGCTCCACCAGAGTCGTCTGCCAAGATCATCTACAAGGTAAGGTCAAATAGTACCAAGGACATCCGGTTTCGGTTTTGTGTGTATGGCGGAGGCGGTGGCAGTTCGTCAATACAACCCCGTACTCTGTATACAGAAAAGGTTTGTTCAGCCTCTTATACCACCTTGGTGAGCAACATTGAGGTTAGGCGTCGAGTTCTAGGTAAACAGGGGAGATCAATCGACGAAGTCATGAAGTTACGAAGACTGAGATGGTTAGGACATGTGTTACGTATGCCAAGTCATCGCCTCCCTCGGCGAGCTATGTTAGCGGATATAGGGTCAGGCTGGAAAAAAGCTAGCGGCGGTCAAACAAAAACTTGGCCTCACCAGTCAATGAAATCCACAACAGTTGGTCTAAGCCACGTAGGAAGGTGTAGACTTCCAGGCTGGGGTCCTCGGGACGGTAAAAATCTATGGTTGGAAACAATTGGTGACATGGCTCAAAATCGTTCTCAGTGGCGCAGATGCATCCACTCCCTGTGACTTATGATCTCCAATGAAACTATATTGTTCTTCGTTATTACTCCTCCTTTGTCTCACACCTCTGCTCACTGTTTCGATCATGCTTTTCTTGTACTTTCTTCTCTTGCTTCGCGTGCTACACGGAGTGTGGCGACTTGAACTTCCGCACATTTGTGCAACGTTCTATGTCGAAAACAGACAGACAGACAGACCACCTTGGTCTTAACCGCTTCATTGGTCGTTTCGTGTAAATTTTTCATTTTTCATTTTAATGATTAGTTTGTTTTTACTTTTATTAATAATCAATTCAGTAATATTACTCTCACATGTTCCTTTTGTACATTTTTTCATCCTCTTCATACTTGTTAAAGTCGCACTCAACTATCAGCCTATGAAGATGATATTGTCGACAAAAAGAAAATTTTCTTCGCTGAAAATGACAACAATTACACAAACTGACATAATACTGGGTAGCAGTTTCCTCCTTGTTTGTAACTCTTCATCAGTACGCACCCATGACTCCACCAGAAGTAGAACTAAGTCCCTATATGGGTCATGGATGTGTAATGCTGATGTGTACCAACACAAGGAGGAAACAGATGTCCAATACCTTCTGGTTTTCAAAGGTTCTCTAACTGATATTAATCTGTGACCAAAGTCGAAACCTTTCAAGTCACTATAAACTGACACTTGAATATAAAAATGACACTCTGTCGTCACATAATGCAAGCTTTACTGCTGATATCAATATTAGTAGTATTGTAGCGTGTGCTACTGACAAATCTTGTCAGTGGAGTGTGATAGAGCTATCCAATAAACTCTCCGTCACCAAGTCTCTTGTCTTTTAGCGTAACACTATGAGAAAATGTACAAAAAAACCCAATCGCCTAAAGAAAGCTAATTGCAAAGATGAACAATGTTCACACCATTCTCTCTCTCTATCTATCTGTATAAGGCCACAAGTGTAACATTAGATAAAATCAAATCAATGATATTAGTGGCTGGAGATAACGCTATCGGTACAAGTTAGGATCTACGGAGGTCATTGAGTATTTGTCACTAAGTATTTGTCTAGTGCTAGTGAGAAATCGTGACCAGTAGGGTGCATGGTCGGGTGTGAGGACAAATAGTCGCCGAAGACATTGGCTAGCGGTCGCGCTCTGCCGTGAATTGGCAGAAGTTGGAATTCATGGGCTGACCATGGGATCGGGTCTCAGTGGCTTAATCGTCTACGAGCTCGCTAGCCTTATAACCAGAAGGTCCTGGGTTCAAATCCCGGTCAGCGCGTACTGCTGAAGAGTCCCAAACTAGAACGAAACAGTTATCCAGTACTCCCAGGTTTTTCAATGGTTCTCTAACTAATGTCAGCTCATGATGAAAATCCTGTAACTAATCAAATCCCTACAACCCAAAACTTAAATAACCCATAAGTCCTGGGTTTGATACATAATAGACTAGTCATAGATGCAAATCAAGGAAGGGTGCTTCCTGAACTACGGTGAAATAACTCCTTTCTAGTGCTTCTCACTTCTCAATGATTCTCCCACTGACGTAATAATAATACTATAAAAAAGAAAAAGAGAATTAACCACCTGAAAGCCAAAAAAAACTTCCACAGTAAAACATTAAATAACAAAAATGAAGACATGGAAAGTGTGAAAAAAAACATACCACTTTAACTGGTGTTTCAGTTTCAGCGGCAGCAGCTGAAGAAGCAGTCGATGTGAATGCATCTGATCCATAATGGTATTCTAAGTGAAGTTTACCAGATTTCAAGTCTTCAACAAATTGATTTAAATATTTTGGATCACTGATGAATGAACACAACACAGATAGAGAGGATCAAATAACAAGATAATAACAATAAAACAAGTGTATTATTATTACAAAAAAAATTTGCATAGGAAAGTATATGGACAGAACAATATACACATTTTCACAGCTTCGTTCCTCTCCACTACAAAAGATATTTAGTAAAGACCATCAGCTACAGAGTTATAGCTATTATACTCAGAAGAAGTAATTGAAGATGAACTTAAGATTGTACATGACGCAATAAGAGACACATGACCAAGAAAGCAGAAAAGAACTACTTACTATCCGTAGACAAGAAGCAGTTATACATGTATGACTGCAATGCAAGGGCGATATATCTAGCAAAATAATTATGAAAAAGTTTAGAAAATCAGTTCAAAGAATTTTTAATGCTGGCGAACTACACGTCTTATTCTCTACAAGACCGATGGTGATTTCTCGATCGGAAGATGAAGTACACAGACTGACCAGCCACTTCCAATTGTATCTACCAACCTATTCAACTATCAACAACTGTCTCCGCTCTATACTGAAGATCACATGGCCGGCCGGGCCGGAAACAATCACCAACAAGAAACTATGTCTGGAAACAAACAAAACAAGAACCAATCGCCAACCAACAAATATGCAAGAGAAAGTGGAGATGGATTGGACACTCGTTGATGAGGAGGTCGCCGCTGGGTGACATCGCGCGCACATCAGGCCATTGCTCGAGTGGAACCTCAACAATGAAGCGGCGAGTAGGACGTCAGTGCGAGGGTGACATTGAGGAGATCGTGTGAAGAGGATTTGAAACAATATGGATTAACTTGGCTGCAGGTGAAAAGTACAGCAGAAGGAAGACAGAAGTGGCAAGTGGAGACGTGCAGTTGAAGCCCTATGTTCCACCAGGAACCCAAAGGAACAGTAATAATAACCTATTCAACTGCAAATGTAGTGGAGCGAGTTATATCGGCCGTCGCTCTAGGAACATCTTTCAGTATGGCTAAGTAAAGGTGTAGTAAAATCCATCAACAATTCGATATTAGATCGCCTGGTCTAAAGCGGCCGGCTACAAAGCCATCAATGATGAAGAATCATTCTATATCATCATCTACTGGATACCAAATAAATCACCAAAAACATCGAGTCACCGCATGCTTCAAACACCAAGAGGCTATCACAATTCGCGTGAAATAACCAGTGCTTTGTGTGCAAAAGAAGCAAATCCAGCGGGCCACTACTACTACCCTGGGTGGCCTTCAGTGGAGACTATAAATTCATGAATTCATTGTAATATTATCTTTCCTAATTTTTCTGACATTCAGCTTATTTCATGTTGATGCTATTAAGCTGTAATCTATCAGTATTATTGATTTGATGTTATTTAAACAGCATTAATGTTGTATTCATAACACTAATTCATTCATTCACTATTATGTATGTATAAATGTAGAGCCTGATGATGAAGGGGTTATCGAAAAGAGTACTCTCTTCAAAGTGAGTTGTTTATTATTATTTTTTTTAAACGAGTAATATGGTTAACATTGATAGAAAGTGGTTTAAGAAATTAGAATCAGGATTTGAAGTTATTACCTACAGGGGTAGGCGATTTTGTATTTTAGATTTATATTGTTATGTAGGTATCATAACTGTATACATATATTAGACAATCTTTTACCTCATAACAAAGCTTTGACCTTATTCAACTGATAAAACTAGGTTACTTAGCGAATGTGTGTGTGTGTGTGAGAGAGAGAGAGCGTGATTGCTGGAAGTGTATACACATACGACACACATTACTGTCTAGTAACAGGCCAGTGTCTTCTGCTATTTTCACATCCTAGTGAAGTAAACGATATTTATGTACTTAGGTATTCAGTGGAGTTGCCTATTGTGTATTTCAGTAACATTATACCCAAGTATTCAATCTACTTGAACGCTACAGTTATCAATTAAACATCAATAAACCTATTGTTTACTCTCTTCTAGAATTGTAACGGACAACTCTCTGAAAACGTCCATATACAAAAAAGCCACATGGAATGGACAATTCATCAATTACCAAAGCTTCATATCCCTCAGCAAAAAGAAAAACTTTATATACACTCTTTCCTCAAGGATTCGGAAGATATGCAGCGACGAAGTGATTGACGAAGAACTACATAATCTCTGAGGAATCTTGATGGAAAACGGCTTTCTGCCTAGGTTCATAGACAAGCATCTAAAATCAAAGAAGACTTCTGAACAAGTCTAATCCATCCCGAAGAAGATACTTTTGCTTAATCTAGAATTCAAAGGTGACATTGAAGCAGAAATCCTCCGGAAACGATTTTGCAAATCTCTGAGGAAAACAAACTTCGCCACCAGGATACGACTGACATTTTCCTGCAAAAAAATTATTCAGGGAGAATGCAAAAGACAAGCTATCACATTAGGCCACTTCAACGGGCATATATCAGTTTAATTGCTCGTGCTTGAGCTGAATACATCGACTGTACCATGCGCCAATTTGAAAAACGCGCTCGTGAACACTATCCAGGCTGGCTAGTAAAAGGAGAACTAAAAGGCGTATACAGTTCAATGACAGAACATATGGTCAATTCAGGACAGTAAGCGCCATTCGAAAATTCCTTCAAAATCATAGACAAGATTCGATTAAACCTATCAAAAGAGTAAAATCAAGACATCTGGGCATAGCCGAGGCACTAGCTATCCAAAAACTCAGATCCAAAGGAAATACATTCAGCCCTTGTCCCTGCCATGGCCATCATAAACAGGTAATTCTTTTAATACTGACTCTCCCATTACCTTTCTTATCCGAACTTCCAGTTTATTCACGTTATTTTATTATTTGTACATATTTAATCCCTAATTGCATAAACAATTATTCGTTACATTAGTTATGATCCCACTAGATTTTTTATCCAACTATCCTGTTTATTTTTGTTATTTATAAATTTCTAACCCCCAATTGCACAATATATCAATCGTCTCAATAATTATGATGCTACTTTATTTGAGTTTTATCCATACCCCCTGTTTATTATGGCATTTTAATTCCTAATTGTAATTCTTATTAATTTGACTCTTGACCGGAAATTATTCTGGAACTTTCCCATCCATTTGATATAAATACACGAATGTACAGCCTAGATGACGGTGACTTCGTCGGAAAGAAACTTTTCTTCGCTGCAACTGTTTTTTTGTTATTCACCATAATGGATATACCACAATGACTGGATGACACAGGGTTAAAATATGCAACCAGTGATCAATTCTTTAAGGGTTGCAGATACCCCTTGTTAGCGAATGGCCAGTACAAGCAGGAAACCGAGGTATAGAAATTGTGCGATAATGACTGGCCTGTGGCTAGGTGACCACATTGTGAACTTGACTGATAGAATCCAGTCAGTAAGCACCGATATTAAGCAGTGGACACATGAGATGGGTTAGTGTTATTCACTGTCTGTCTGTTTTCAACATAGAACTCTGCACTCAAGTGCGGCAGTTCAAGTCGCCACATTCCCTCCATGTACTACACAGAGCAAGAGAAGAAAGTAGAAGAAATGCATAAGAGAGACCATCAGTTGAGGTGTGAGACAAAGGAATAGTAATAAAGAAGAACAATATAGCTTCATTGGAAATCATAAGTCACAAGGAGTGGATGCATCTGCGCTAGCAGCCATTGAGAACGATGATTTTGAGCCATATCACCTATTGTTTCCAGCCTTCATTGTTTTTTACAGTTCCCAGGACCCCAACCAACCCGTTAAGAAGTCTACACCTTCCTACGTGGCTAGCTGGCTTAAACTAACTGTTGTGGATTTCATTGGCTGGTTCCATGAATTGACCATCGCTAGTTCTTTTCCAGCCTGACCCTATATCAGCTAACATTGCCCATTGTCGAGGAAGGCGATGACCAGGCATACGTAACACAAGTCCTAACCATCTCAGTCGATGTAATTTCACAGCCTCGTCGATTGATTTCCGCTCCCTACCTAGAACTCGACCGACGCCTCACCTAAATATTGCTCACCTTATATACCATCATATAACACGGGAGATAGAACGCAGATACCTATGATCAAAGACAGCTAATATTTTCATATCTTCCACTCTCAATGGCCAGGTCTCACAGCTCGCCATAAACGAGGACGGAGCGGACTGATGAGCAGTACACACGCCTTTTGGTCGACAGCTATCCGGGTATCACGTCTACGCCAGAGACGGCTTAAACTGGCAAATTCGAAACGAGCCCCCTGTATTCGTGCTGAGATTTCGTCAGAGATCAACCCGTTGGGGCTGATGGTACTTCCCAAATAAGTGAAGCGGTCAACGTGCTCTACCACTACACTCCCCTATTTCTAAACTAGGAGTCAGTGTAGTTCAGTCCTGTACCATCCATCATCTTACATTTGGCGGGAGCGAATCGCATGCCAAACATTCGTAGTTATTCACTGGTGAACAATCAACGTAGTGGTTTATTCCTACTATCTATTTGTAGCATTCAGGGAAAACAATTGCACACACACACTTATACATACATATCGCTACTGTACGAATTGTAATTTGATACAGTGTTAAAAAAGGCACGAAATCCTTGCAAATCTATAGTTTATAACAATTAAGATACATTATTAAGATATTTCTGTAACGGTAGAAAGCAAAAACATTAATGCACACAGAAGAAAATTGTTCATCTCCTTCCTATTTTAGCATAGACATAATTTCAAGTTTTCGGTATCATTACTATTATTGGTTTGATAGTTTTTCTTAGGTATTATTTTGTTTACTAGTTTACCAGAAGATACTAAAAGCTCGAAAAAAGAGAAGATGGAAGATTGAGCTTGAGAGGTAGCGAATCTACCCGAAAAAATTAAACCATTTGCTACAGAAACTGCAAAATACACTTAGTCTTCCCTTGGATTCCGAGTAGAACGTTGATTGATCTTTAGCAGCATGTCACTGAGGTCTTTTCTAACTGGCTCTATGGGTGCTTGTGCATTTTAACTTTCCTCAACGCAAATGATCTCTCTTCTATGCCGCCTATGGACAGATGCCCAACTCTAGGTGTTTACCACACACAGATTTTACTCCAAGGACAGTCTGGAGGGAATATGAATAATTGCTATATTGTACAGCTAAGTGAATGTAACCGCTGAAGAAAAGACTATCTAAGCTAAATTATTTGTCTTTTATTATCCTCCAAGACTAGATGAGTATTTTCAAGGGTTCAGAGTTCACAATCCCACTACTGAATATATATCAAAGTCTGTGAGCATTACACCCATCCCCCTCGCTATAAAGCTAGTCGGTTTGTATTCTCTATTAAAAAACCAGTAAATTGAATCTCCATTGTAACATGTGCGTCGTCGGTGGCACAGCGGTTATGACACTCGTCGATCATGCATACAGTCCAGGGTTCGATCCCCTGCTGACGCACACCTGATATCTATGATCGGCTTGCAAAATTTGGCCTACCGATATCACATGCTGCAAAATTCCATACTTGTACCCAAAATACAGCGTGGAATCAAGCTGTAATAAAAAAAAACATGACGCATATAGAGTAGCCAGCTATATGCTTCCTTTAGATTAGAAGTATCTTTCTGTTTTCTCTTCCACAAAAGCAAAAAATAAATAAATAATGAATTGAATGAAGAAAGATATTTTATATTGAAGAATCGACATGCACGTACACACACCCATACACTAGAACATCGAACACATCAATATCTCTACATATTTATCAATCAATGATAACAGAGAATATCAAAGTCCGTAGTAAAACAAAATGGAAAAAAAAATATCTGAGATAGCAGCACTGCAGACAGTCAGACAGACAGGCAGGCAGGCAGCAACAACCATAACAAGATGGAACATACAAAGCAAAGCATAAGCCTTTCATCAGATTTGAGCAAGAAAAACAAAGGTGAAACCCAATGGGTGCAGCATATTGTCAATGAGTCCCAAAACAGAGCGGAACCGGTGTCCGGTAACTCCAGTGTTAGATTTTTCAATGGTTGGCTGACATCAATCCGTGGTCAAATTTGAGAAAACAAATCAAATGCCTACTAAAAATCGATTCTTGAAAAATTAATCTGATGGTTGCTAATCATTGGCTACAGGATGGAGCTTCCTGGAGTTCTAGTGAGAAATCGTGCCCGGTGAGTGGAGTCCATCCTGTCGGGAGGAAGGACAATGAAATTGGCTGCTGCCAGTCATGCTAAAATCATGAATTGGCAGAAGTTAGAATTCATTGGCTGACTGGCTGGCTGGTCATTGAAGAGTCCGGTACCAGTGGCTGATGAATAGTCTACCAGCTAGCTAGCCTTGTAATCGGAAGGTCCTGAGTTCGAACCTCAGTGCAGTGAGTGCATACTGCTGGTGAGTCCTAAACTAGACTGAAGGAACAGCTGGGTGTCCAGTACTCCCAGCTGGTTTAAAAGGTTCTCTAACTGACATCAATCCGTGGACAAACTTGAAAAACCAATCAAATTCACACAGATCAACTCTTCGTCACTCAGACAGTATCAACAACAAAATTCGGTCGGATTTTCAATACAAACAGCGTCAAGTCAGTCAGTTCTTCTATACGGATTAGAAACTTGGTGGGCGGGTCACAAAGAATATTTCCAACAGCCAGCCTGTTGCAGACCTTTATCAACAACTGTTTTCGCTCTATACTGAATGATGATCAGATGGCCGGGCCGGAAAGAATCACCAACAAGAAACTACGGGAATAAACAAAAGCCGGTCGCCCAACAAATATGCAGGAGAAAGTGGAGATGAATTGGACACTCGTGGCTGAGGAGGCTTCTGGGTTACATCGCGCGAGCGTCAGGCCATTGCTCGAGTGGAACCAGGCCGAAAGCGAAGCGATGAGTGGGACGTCGGTGCAAGGGTGACATGGTGGAGATCGTGTGAAGAGGAGTTGAAACAGTATGGTCTAACATGGATGCAGGTGAAAAGCACAGCAGAAGACAGAAGAAAGTGGAGAGGTGCAGTTGAAGCGCTATGTTCCACTAGGAACCCAAGAGAGCAATAATGATAAATAATAATAACCTTGAGGATACATAATAATAATAATAATAATAATATTCCATACGGTATGTTTGATACAATGTTGAATTTTCAACGTGTTATACGTGTAATATCGCATTTAATTTTCCCTTCAAATTATATGGCCCCAAAGAATTAAAATAAGGAGGGCATTTACATTAATAACACATAAAGTAAATAATAATAGGAATGTTAAATTAAAATTGTGTGGAAATATAGTGAGAACAATACATTACAACAATAATGGAAGAAAGAATAAGAAGGGATGTCAACTTAATGTTTCACAGTAAGTTAGTAGTTTTATATAACTAGCACTTTTTTCACCCTATAAAATGTATGACAGATAAGGTATCCTCTAGTTTTCATACTTAGTTGTTCAGGAATAAAGTCTTTCATAAATTGGTTGGAAGATTTCATCATGAGCTGACATCAATTAGAGAATCATTGGAAAACCAACTGGGAGAGTAGTGAACAGATGTTTCGTCTGCCTAGTTTGGGACACTGCTTAAGCAGTACGCACCCACTGCGGTTCGAACTCGGGTCATTGGATTGGATCCAAGTGGCTATTGAATGGTCTGCGAGCTCGTTAGTCTTGTAATCACAAGATCCTGGGTTCAAACCTCTCTGGTGCATGTTTATTGATGAAGAGTTCCAACCTAGGCTAACGACACAGCTGGCCCAGGTTTTCTAATGGTCTCTAACCGATGTCAGCTCAAGATGAAATCTTGTAACCAACCAATCAAATCCATAAAAACCAACTCTTGAATAATAAAATAAACCCTGGATGATACAATTAAACTTGGTGTTGTGGATCGCAAAAAATTACTGCTACTTGAATTTTCAAAGGTTGGACTGCACAGAGGTAATTAATTTCAAATTTGATATTTTTATTTTATTATAGCTTGACTCCACACAGTATTTTTGATACAAGTATGGAATTTTCAGCATGTGATATCGGTAGCTCAAATTTTGCAAGGCAACCATTGATATAGGGTATGGCGTCGGCCGGGGATCGGACCCCGGTCCATGTGTGTGTGGTCAGCGAACGTCCACTGACGCACACGAAATGACTTCAGTTAGATAACCACGGGAAATTATCACGGAGAACCAGACAGTCGTTTCTCGCACGTTTTGCACTCTTCATCTGTACGCAGGTTTCACCCCACCAACCAAAACTTGAAAATTTACAAAGTGTCCACTAAAAACTGACCGCAGGATGAAGTTCCCTGAAGTTGTAGTTGAAATTTTTGACGGATAACTGGATGGCGGATGCACTACATATGTATAGCACTGATAGGGTATTAGACTCTGTCCTAGTGGTTGATTGAACAACGAGCTCACTTCGTAGCATAAAATTCTTGTGTACGATGTGTGGTGGGGGTGGGTCACGGGTGTGCACTGATGAAGAGTCCCGGGGAAGGACGAAACGGGTATGCATCACTTGAATTATCAAGGAATAATAAAAGAAATGAAGGAGAAAAGAAGCTGAGTCATCCACCAAAATGGGTGTAATTCATGTCCTACTTAAAACAGGCTGTAGACTTCGATCAACAGCCACCGTCAACCAACCAACCAACCATGAGCCTATCGCCCAACAAAAATGCAGAACGGAATGGAGACGGATCGTATGCATACTGAGACGCGTCAGACCCTGCCGTGTAGTAGGATCCGCACAGTAAAAGATAAGTTCGGCGTCGATGGTTGACATACACGAGACGAAAGCTTATACGCAATTTTGGGGTCAGCTAAAAAGCAATGTAGTGCACAGGATGAAACGAAGAACTGCCGGTTAAAAGCCTATGTTCCACTGGGAACCAAAGAGAATACTAAAAAAATAGAAATAGAAATATGATAATCACCTGGTACGTGAACTACACATAAGAAAAAAAATAATAAATCATTTGACTAACCTTAATGCTGTGTCTATACTCCCAGGATATACATACATATGTGCAAAAGAATCCAAACAAATGAAGGGTAAATCTGACTCTGATTTACCCAAATGGGCTAATGGATGCGAAAATGTCACTCCATCAGCTGTAACGATGTTGATTGTTTCTATAATTTCCAGACAAGACAGAAAGAAAAGACAACAGAAAACAAAATGATATGAAATTCATCTCATTGAAAGCAATCTTCAATGTTAAATTAACGGTGTAATGAATGGTAGGAGATAAGAGACTGGGTGAAGGAATATTTATTTGGAATTCGGTATCTGTATATAGCCAAATTATGAGTACACCTTATCTTCAATGCACCATTTGTACAGATTTGTCGTGTTGTGCTACTTCTGCCTTTCCTTCATATTGTGTCGCTTTGTATTCCATTCATGTATCTTATGTATCTCCACAACGCTGTACCATTTGTTTTCTCTGAAGTCAAGTTTATCTCTCCGTTATGTGATGTTTTTATGTCAATGAACGTCTCTTTATATACTACTGATAAATCGTATCAGTAGCGCACGCGATAGTCGTCTCCTTATCGTAAATAGTTTTGAACGGAGCCGCTCCGACTTTCTTGGTTTTACTCCTTCTTGTTGTACCTTGATCCCGGCTTCCTTATCCCATTGAAGCCATTTCTGCAGTTAGATGACGTCAACCCATTTCTGCTTATTTCCTCTTATGATGGTATCAATGGCACCATGTCTCTCAGTGACAGTGCATGACCCTTCCCAACTCGGAAGGAATTTCCATGAACCTGGCCCTCATCTAACCGCGTCCTTTCTTTCTCTACACTTTACTTAATCCCATCTTCTCTCTTTGTTCTAATTGAGAGGGGTCTTTCTTCTGTTTACGCTTTACATTCTTGACGGCATATTTCTGTTCCGTTCGCAGCCTCGTCATATCCCACTGGTAGTGGAGGGACCAGGTTGTGTTGTATATTGGCAGTTGTGTCATCCTCCCATACATCAATTGAATTGGGGACTTCATTGTAGTTTCCTGAGTGGAACTGCAAAATACACAGTTCGAGGAGGAGATTCACCGGAGTTTTCTTCGTGAAAAACCAAAATATATTCAGATCACCACAACATGTGATCTCCATGCCATCACTAATGATAGGCAATCAACCAAATAGGCATAATTGACTGATAGGAGAAGCTGGAGAATCATTCACATTAACGAGCAATGCTTGCTAGCTAAATCGAAGTGATTTGAACGCTAGATAGTCATTTCGCTTGCTTAGGGTTGTGATGTTAATGCCAGTGTCAATTCTCCGTCTTAGACTCGGCTTGAAGAGTTAAATGAGTTGAAACCACCTGAATGCCAATCAGTTACTGAGGTAAAGTGATAATGCACAGAATCAATTTCATCACATTTCAAGGAGAAAATTTATTCTGATGTCTTGCATCATGTACTTCACAATTATTTTTTGTTTTCTTAAATTCCTAGAGGAACATTGCAGCTTCAGCCTCACGTCTCATTGCGTTCATTTCTCTGCCAACGTTTTCACCGGGATCCGCATGCTCTCACCTCCTATTCACATGATCTCCTCCAAGTCACCCTCTGACGACCAACTCGCCGCTTCCCGTTCGCGTTCCACTCGAGAGCCTATCGTGTGATGACACAATTAGTTATATACAATTTTATTTCACTTGATTTTTTCCCGATTACAGTTACATAAAAGTGAACACTTCGCTTAAAATCTCAAGATAATATTTTTAATATAAAAATAAAATTACAGTTTGATACATGCGTATATATTATCCATTCCTTGAGTTCCTCTAAGTAGAATATTGAGGCTCAGTGGCATACCTCCAAGGAGTTCAAACCTCTGCCATCCCTTCCACATGATACAATGACTACTGCCCTTTTACACAATCTCAGTCCTATGCCCAACCCGTTGCTTCTCTCCATTCGGCAGCCTGGTGCATATGATGTCACTTGAAAGTTTCATCATTGAATGCTCAGTACACCCTCATTTCTTTCTGTATATATATTTGTTCAGTAAAACGCTATCTGATTGATTCGCTGTTGCTCATCCTCTCTAGTCACCCATCTCGTCCTAAGTATTATCGAGTGAAAGCAGATGCTGACAGGAGTTTGCAGTAGCGTGTTGGAAATGCTTTTAGTGACATGGGTGTAACAAGTCTCTGAATTTTATAGTAGCACTGATTCGGCATTGGTAGTGCACATTTGGATCTAGTCCGAAGCGATCAGTACTGTGGATCCCTATACTGATTCCAGTATAATATGAGTACCTGTCTTGCTTTCCCGATCCTAATATATATATATATATATATATATATATATATAATTTTTACCAAAGTCACTTTTTCTAAAGCGCTATAATTGAAATACATTAATCAGGTGTTAGATAAAGTCAACGGACAAGATATCCAGGAGTTGGTTTTCATACTTTTTTCCGCGTTCACATCTGTCTTCAATATGTTCACGAAATAGACATATAAAGAACTATGAAATGATTTGAATGCTGTTTGAAGTATTCAACGTGACTCAATCTCCTACTTGTCCCTCTCTCTCTCCCTCTAGAACCAAGCAAATCAACCGTTTATTGGTTAAATTGCCATGAATACTGAATGGAATGAATGATCGATAACCATATACAATGTGGTAACATATTTAAAATCAGTGCTTAGTTGTTCATTTGGTGATTATGACAATATTCAGATACACCAATCTCAAAATAATTCCCTTGGAAATTAATTCAATTCTCACTAACGACTGAATATAGTACGACCGCTCCGTCCTCCTTTATGGCGAGCTGTGAGACCTGGCCATTAAGAGTGGAAGACATGAAAAGATTAGCTGTCTTTGATCATAGGTGTCTGTGCTCTATTTCCCGTGTAAAGTGGCATAATAAGGTGAGCAATATTGAGGTTATGCATCAGTCGAGTTCTAGGTAAACAGGGGAAATCAATCGACAAGGCTGTGAAGTTACATCGACTGAGATGGTTAGGACATGTGTTACGCATGCACGCCTAGTCATCGCCTTCCTCGACAACAAGCAATGTTAGTTGATATACGGTCAGGCTGGAAAAGAGCTAGCGGCGGTCAAACCAAAACATGGCTTCACAAGTCAATGAAATCCACAACAGTTAGTTTAAGCCAGCCAGCCAGCCACGTAGGAAGATGTAGACTACTTAGTTGGGTTGGTTGGGGTCTTCGAGATGGTGAAAACCAATGAAGTCTAGAAACAATAGGTGATATGGCTCAAAATCATCGTTCTCAATGGCTGGCTAGCGCAGATGCATCCACTCCTTGTGACTTTTAATTTCCAATGAAACTATATTGTTCTTCTTTATTACTATTCCTTTGTCTCACACCTCAACTTACTGTCTCCATTATATATTTCTTCTAATTTGTTCTGTTGCTTTGTGTGGTACATGGAGGGAGTGTGGCGACTTGAACTGGTTCACATCGGTGCAAAGTTCCATGTCAAAAACAGACAGAATACAGTATGAAATTTGCTTTGAGTCCTAGTGGGCAGTCGTGGCCATCAGAGACCACCAAGTTGGTTGGATGAACAAATACTCACCGAAGACAATAATTGGTGACGGTGTTAAAAAATATCGCCTAATTTGACTAGAAGCTAGGATTGATGGTATGTTCGACTCTGTTCAATGGTATACGTAACCTCTTCTTGGAGATTGAAGGTCCTGAGTTCAGTTGCAAATGGAGTGAGCACCGATAAAGGGTTCAAACTACGACGAAACTGAAGGCTAAAGAAACAGACAACTGTTGTATACAATGATGGGGTTAATCAGCGATAAGGCGTGATCACCGTGTTTGTGTTTAACTTGGCACTTCAATCTCATTTTCAATGCTATCGCGAAATATAAAACTGGTGTAACAGAAACAGCTTTCTAGTATTATCCGGTTTTCAATATTTTTATAGCTGACGTCAATTAGTCATCAAGTCTTGAAATTAGTTTACAGTAATTCACCATCAGTAATTAACTTTCATGTTCGATGGAGAATAAATATGAAACTTATCGTGTTTTTTCATAGATACCGGAAGTGTGATATATGTATATATTTGTGTACGTGTGTACATGTCTGCGACAAAATTATTCACTAATTATCGATTCAAAATTATATATATATATATATATATATATATATATATTGCATAGTGATTCATACACATGGAAGATAGATTAGTGATACTATCTCCATGATGTCATTTAAACATTTTGGACTATTGATGAGTGGCATAATAATATACACTTCAAGGGCTACCACACAATGAAGAATATAGAAGCCAGTGGGTAGCATTTAGTTGTACATATCCAAGTCATCGAACTGGGTGTCTACAGATAATGCCACTCACTGAAAGACAATCGACAACACGACAAAACATTCACCATCGGGACCTAAGATTATTCACACGATAATACCACTCGGGGCAAGCGATTCTATGGACGCCAAAGACTAAACACTTACTCATCATACATCCTTAGCTCAGAAAGTTTAGAGTTGAGTTCACAGGAGTAGATCAAAACTTCAGGAATCGAAACATTGTAACCTTAATGTTTATTGGCTAGAAAACTTCGTAGTAGTACACAGAAGTAGCCCACTTTGGAGTATACCATTCTGGATTTCACTATGCAGTGAGAAATTTCATCCACTACACTTCAATTGATAGCCACACAAATTAATCATGTACACGATATAATCAAGCGCAAGATCCTGCGAATTTCACAGCATTACATTTACATTAAATACCAAAGTGATTTGGGTAGCTAGTATGCAACTGAACAGCGAGAAAATATTATCTGCATACTCAAAGTTCAGAAATGTTTCTTCAGACAGAAGAACTACACCATTACAAGCGTTTATTACACTGAAGTCGGTGTAGTAGAGATACACAGGACTCAACACACGTTATAGCAAGATACTGAAGTTACGATGACTAGAACGAATTAAGCAACAAGAAAATGTTGCACAGAACAATCAATCAACAACTCTATTGCTCAAAAGTATGGCAAACTGAAATGCAGATGGTTTGAAAATGCGTCGAAGAGACCAATGAGTGAGATCACACGCCGGGTCATGGCATGATAATCAACGAGTTGGGGGTCCAATAGTGATATGGAAAGAAGAGTAATGTGAGGAGGGAATGAATACACTTATATATGGTCCTAGAATCAACCTGGTGAAAGTGATGACACAGAATTGAGTGCAGTGGAAATGTGCCGATGAAGCTGTATATATATATATATATATATATATATATATATATATATAAACTTCATCAACTTTGAAAAGGCCTTCGACAGCGTCGATCGAGAGGTGATTTGGCAACTGCTTCGCTACTACCAAGGGGTCCCATCGACAATTACACATCTCATCCAACAGTTATACGATAATGCTGCATGCCAAGCAATCCACAAAGGGGAACTTACGGAAACCTTCGAAGTGAGGAGAGGAGTAAGACAAGGCTGGCTGGCTGTCTACTATCACCAATGTTCTTCCTGATTGCAGTAGATTGGATAATGCGACAGACAACGGGCCAGGGGCAGTGAGGAAACAGGCATAAAATGGACTCACACGAAAAACTTGGAGGATCTGGACTTCGCCGATGATGATATATGTCTGATTTCTCACAAACTGGAAGATATGCAAGTGAAAAGCAACAAGCTGGCAGAAGAAGCATCCAGAGAAAAATAGGACCTCAGGTTAGCATAGAGAAAATAGAGGTGATGAAGATTCCTAGCCAACATCAACAGCAACAACAACAACAGACAACAATCAGCATAAGTGGGAAGAACCTGAAAGAAACAGCCTCCTTCACCTACCTACCTGGGAATCATCGTTTCAACTACAGGAAGACGGAACTGACGAGGATATCAAAGGAAGAATCGGAAAAGCAAGATAGGCTTTCATTACCCTTAAGTCTGTGTGCAGGAGGTCAACATCACTCACCATCAAAAATAACATCCGGATTTTCAACTCCAATGTGAAGTCAGTGCTACTTGCTATACGGATCAGAGACTTGGCTAGCGCGTCATAAAGAGTATCTCAAACAAACTACAGACCTTCATTAACAGTTGTCTTCGCTCAATACTCAAGATCAGATAGCCGACCAGAAAAGATCAGCAACACGGATCTCTGGCAATGAGCGAACCAACCCAGCAGGAACCGATTGTGAAACAAAAAGGTAGGAAGAAATGGAGATGGATTGGCTGGCCATACTCTGAGAAAACAAACCATCAAGTGACATCACTAGACAAGCCATTGCTCGAGTGGAACCAGGCCGAAAGGGAAGAGGGCGGCGAGTTGGTCGTCAGTGCAAGGGTGACTTGGAGGAGGTCATGTGAAGAGGAGATGAAAGCATGAGGGCAGACTTGGAGCGGGGTGAAAAAGTTGGCAGAAAATTGAAGGCAATGGATATGCGTAACTGAAGCCCTATGTTCCTCTAGGAATTAAAGGATATAATATTATATATATATATAAACATAAAAACTTACCTTGTAGGTGTGATAAATGATTTCTAGCAAATTCAGTGAAACGATCAGCTATTGTTTTATTCTTTGGATGATAAAACAATAACATTAAGGGTAGACGTTCTTCAGTTATCTCTTCAGCATTAGCAAATGTTAATTCACGTACTAAACTTGTACACGCTTTGATTACCCAATTATGGACTGCTGGTAAATCAGCATTTTTTAAAATTGTTCTTGTTGTGATTTTATTTGCCTAAAAAGGGAAAAGGGGAACACACACATACACGAAACAGAAATTATTTACAAGTTATCTATCATCCCGATTTCTACAGAAAAACAAGACACAACAAAAAGAAAATGGGAAATTGACAGATGATTTACTTCGGTTTGTGAATACTTTGACTAACTGCATTATGGATAAGATTTTACTTTGATAAATAAAATCACACAGTGTTGCAAAGTAATATTGAGTGATGACCATGTGTCGACCACAATTTGTTGCTCATAATCACATCAAAGTGATATAATTATGATATGAAATTTAAATCTACAAACGTATTCAGGTAAGACAAGCTTTGTAGGTTGACCCAATTACACAAAATAATATAATTTACAAAAGACCTTGCAATGACTGTGAGTTAAATCAACTACATAGGTCAAACCAGTACACACGGCGCGGGTAGTCAGATTGACAGAACATACGAATTTAGTTAAGGTTAGAATGATTGACTGCACAAAGATAAGGAGTTTAGGAAAAGACTGAACAGTTGAACTGCGTGCACACAATAAGGTAGGACAGAGTTACAATTCTGAAAGGTAATATAGGTAGGTTGAAAGAGAGAGAGAGAGAGAGAGGTTGATTACGGAATCCTTATTCATCGAAAAATCTACACCCAACACATGCAACACAATATACTCAATGCAAATATCAGAAATATGGAAGATATTATTACCACCAGTCAGTCAAATCAGAGGAGGATAATAAATAATCTTAAAATTCTACTTCAATTCACTTACATCATAACATTCTAACAAGTTACTTATTTATTTGACTATAAAAACACTCGTCTTATTTCCCATCTGATTGTAATTGATCAATAACACTCGTATCATTAATTCTGAATGTACATTATCGTATATTGATCTTTCTTCAAATATCTGGTCAATTCCAGTCATGTATATAGATGAAGGAAAACGTTGTGTGATTAGTGTCTTGATATGATTATGAGCGGTAATCATTTGTGCTCGAAGCATGGTCATCAGTAAATACTACTGTATAAAACTGTGTGATTTTATCAAAATAAAATTTTATTCATAATGGAGTTAGTTATACTCTACCACCACACTGTCCAAGTTTTATACTTATATCAATAATACTTTAGTTACTTGCCTGTTTTTTACAGTTGGGAGATATCAGACCATTATAAATGGAAGATATAATAGAGGCTAGTAATTTTTTTTATCACGTTAAATAGTTTTAATATAAATAGTAATAATGGGGTTGAACAGAGTGCTGAGTAAGTAGGGAAAATCGCTTTGATGAGATTGTCCGATTAAATCGACTGGAATCGTGTGCTAAGCTATTTGTTGCTACTGTCGTCGAGTTATGTTGGCTGACAAGCTTTGCAAAACAGTTAAAAATGGTCAAGTGAAAACCTGAAATCAAACAATCAATCCATCAATCAATCGATCCATAAAGTCTGTTAGGATAGTGGAGATGTTAAGAAGTAATACACACATGCAGACACTGCTGGTAATATCGTTTCCAATGAAATAAATGCATTGATTCTCTGTGATCTCCTCGATCGATTAAACTTTCATTATTCTCCTGCATGCACATTTCTGCTTACTACAGTTTCTTTGCATTTCTTTAATTCAGTCAAATCTCTACCTTTATGTATGCTATTATAAGCAGTGAAGCATCTTCAATTGGTGCATTTTGTTTTGTATTGTTGAAAATTTGTTTGATTTCAATCAACGAGAAAACTGATGACAGATGTTAATACATAGAGTATGTAACCGTTTAGACAATTGACTTAAATCCAATGATCTGCGTTTAGTATCTGTCTGTCTGTTTTCGACATGAAACTTTGCACCGATGTGAACCAGTTCAAGTCGCCACACTCCCTCCATGTACCACACAAAGCAAGAGAAGAAATTAGAAGAAATATATAATAGAGACAGTAAACAGAGGTGTGAGACAAAGGAATAGTAATAAAGAAGAACAATATAGTTTCATTGGAAATTAAAAGTCACAAGGAGTGGATGCATCTGCGCTAGCCAGCCATTGAGAACGATGATTTTGAGCCATATCACCTATTGTCTCTAGACTTCATTGGTTTTCACCATCTCGAAGACCCCAACCAACCCAGTTAAGTAGTCTACATCTTCCTACGTGGCTGGCTGGCTGGCTTAAACTAACTGTTGTGGATTTCATTGACTTGTGAAGCCATGTTTTGGTTTGGCCGCCGCTAGCTCTTCTCCAGCCTGACCGTATATCAACTAACATTGCTTGTTGTCGAGGAAGGCGATGACTAGGCATACGTAACACATGTCCTAACCATCTCAGTCGATGTAACTTCACAGCCTTGTCGATTGATTTCCCTGTTTACCTAGAACTCGACTGATGCATAACCTCAATGTTGCTCACCTTATTATGCCACTTCATACGGGAAATAGAGCACAGGCACCTATGATCAAAGACAGCTAATCTTTTCATGTCTTCCACTCTCAATGGCCAGGTCTCACAGCTCGCCATAAACGAGGACGGAGCGGACTGATGAGCAGTAGACCCGTCCTTTGGTCGATAGCTAGCCGGGTATCACGTCTACGCCAGAGACGGCTTAAACTGGCAAATTCGAAACGAGCCCCGTGTATTCGTGCTGAGATTTCGTCAGAGATCAACCCGTTGGCACTGGTTGATGGTACTTCCCAAATAAGTGAAGCGGTCAACGTGCTCTACCACTTCACTTCCTATTTCTAAACTAGGCGTCGATGTAGTCCAGTCCTGTAACATCATCTTGCATTTGGCGGGAGCGAATCGCATGCCAAACATTCGTAGATTGCAGCTCAAGGTGTTCAGAAGACTCTGCATTTTGTCAGCGTCCTCGCCTAGAAGGACTATATCGTCTGCATATTCTAAGTCAACGAGATTATTCCCTGGTAGCAAGTCAATCCCCGAGTCGCTGAAGTCACTTAGGGTTAAGTCCATTAGTGCATCTGTGATGAAGTTGAATAGAAATGGGGATAATGGACACCATTTCAGATGACAACTCACCGTAAGCCCTCACCTGGCTGACAACATGAGTTCAAGTACAGTGCTTCGATCAGTACAATATATTTTCTCGGCATTTCCTTTACAGCCAAGCATCGCCAGAGAACCTCTCGGTCGACAGAATCGAATCCCGCCTTTAGGTCAAGAAATATTATGATTGTTGGACGCCGGTAGGAATTCCTGTGTTCTAGAATCTGTCGAAGGGTGAAGATATGATCAGTACCGCGTTGATTTCTACTCACTTGCTATTTGTATGCCTGTCTTTTTAACTCCTTATAACTCTTGTATGTCTTCACAACTCTTACATAACTCCATATTTTCCTTTACTTTTATGTATATCCTAATCAAAACTCACTCGATTATATTATTTATCCTACTGCGCAACTACAGTACACTCGCTCAACTTCTCTTCTCTTATGCATTGACGAACACTGACAACTCACCACCACTACCCTCTCATATCCTCCCTGCTCTCTAGTTGCAATTCGATTATTCATCACATTTTTTTGGGTGGGTGGGTGGGGGGGGGGAATATTTTGATGGCATAAACAACAACCCAAACTAAGTTTTCTTTTTGTCTGAGAAAGCTAATGTACAAACACACACACACACACGTACAAAACAGAATAATTATAAATGATTGCGATTGAGAGATTGAGGGAATTCGCCGTGGAAAGATGAGACGACTCTTCGGTGAATTTTGGTATTTTGTTAATTTCTGGATGAAGATTATTAATGAGATAATTTGAAATCGGAATAACATGATATTGAACTTAAAAACAGGTAATTGAGCGCTAATAATTTCACCATGACATAATATAATACGATCCACAATCTTGAAATACATTACTTATATGCAATCACGGAATACTTCGATAATCTGTTGTTAGTCAGAATTTAAATCGTACGTTAAACAGATAAACAACACCAATGAGATTCCACACCCGGCCGACCACATATATGTGGTTGGGGGTTCAACCCTGGCCAACGCACTGATTTACTTGGCTAATAGGATTGGTGAAATGTTTAAATGACAGAGCACAAAAACTATGTAGTACCAAGGGAAATCTAAGACAGGAAGTGATACACATAAAAGAAGCCTTGAAACTTAATAATTACCCGGATAAATTAGTCAGGAAATATGTAAGAAAATGTAAAAATATAATAAATAATGATAGTGGCGATAGTGATGATGATAATAATAATAATGATAATATAATAATAGTGACAGTAAAAATAATAATTTTAATGACGACACCAACAACAAGGAATCTAAATCATCAACAGTAATTCTATACGAGGAAGGAACCTCGGAAGCCTTACGCAGAATTCTGAACAAAGCAGGAATAAAAGTGGCTGGCATTCAAACCAACCACAAACTCGATTAGAAACAAGCTTTGTCGGTGAAGGATCGTGTAGAGCCTTTAAAACAAAACACTTTAGTTTATCTAATACCCTGTCTGCAATGATTGTCAGGTCAAATACATAGGTCAAACTAGTAGAACAGGGGCAGTCAGACTAGCCGAGAATAAAAACCTAGCAAAATCTAGATTGGTTGACCCGAATAAGATAAGAAATGTGGAGAATAGTTCAGCTATAGCATTACATGCAGTCACACACAAACATACAATAGGATGGGATAGGATGACGGTTTTAAGATCTGATATCACAGGGTGGAGGGAGAGATTGATAACAGAAGCTTTGTTTATCGAATCAACTGAGAGCACGTGCGTAACAGGAATGATTCAACACCTGGCCCAGATATCTGGAAAATGCTACTACCCAACGACAAATAGGAGAAAACTATAAAACTCATGTTTCAAAGTCGTGTGATTACAATTGATATGATTATGAACAATAAATTTAGTTCGAAATGACATCCAGTAAATAATACTGTCTCAGTCACTGTGTGATACATCTAATAAACAAACTAATATGGAATTACTTACTACCGCAGTGCCCAAGTTTTACACATATAT